TGCCCACTGCTCACTCCTGGCCAGCATCAATATCATTCAACAACCTGTGGCACTGGAGGCATTCATTCATCTATGCCAAGAAATATGGAAGACAACTACCTGGCCAACTGATTGAAGACATCCATATTTGTGCCCATTCCAAAGAGAATGTGGAAATCACTGGGCAATACCATTGATATCCCAAGCGAGTAAAGTTTTACTAAAGATAATCCAAAAACAGCTGCCAAAAAAAAAAAAAAAAAACAGCTGCCACCATACATTGACAGAGAACTTCCAGTGGTTCAAGCCACATTCAGAAGAGGCCGTGGAACAAGGAATATCATTGCTGACATCAGATGTATCTTGACTGAAAGCAGACAATACCAGAAAGATGTTTACCTGTGCTTTATTGACTATGCAAAGGCTTTCTACCATGTGGATCATGACAAGCTATGGACAACTTTACAGAAAATGATTATTCTGGAACACTTAACTGAAGAAGGTTGGAATGTTGTGAAAATTACCAAGAAGTGACACAGAGACATGAAGCAAGCTCATGTTATTAGAAAAATAGCCTAGGAAACCCTACGGGCTACATCTACTGTGCCACAGGATATCACTGTGAGTTAACAATGACCCAATGGCAGCCAGCAACAACATCTAGGAGGGAGATTAGAAAAGACTGTGGAAAAATTCCTTTATCTTTCAATTCCATTTTTCCATTAACTTTCTGAAGCCTTTTGTTCACAAAATGAAAGCGTGTCTTCCATATATCCAATTTTTCTGCTGGAAGTCAAGATCAGTTTATAATCAGAAAAATATCACTTGGCATACTTGTTAAAATACAGATTCCAGGGCTACCCCTCCAAACCTGAATCTGAGGCCTAATAAATCTGCATTCCTTCAAGGTGCCCCATGAATCGAATGCAGGCCAGCACAAGGCTGTGTCTGGTGACTGGTATTAGATATGGCTTCTGAGCCCTCACCCAAGATTCCACAGCTCATATAGTGGTTACGAATCAGGCTGCTCACCTCAAGACCAGCAGTTCGAAACTACCAGCCATTCTATGGGAGAAAGATGAGGCTTTCTGCTCCCAAATAGATTTACAGCCTCAGAAACTCTATGCAGTGTCATTATGAGTCAGAACTGACTCCACAGCACACCACCACCACCATCACCAGCAAACAACTGTGTGCCAACAGTTTCAAAGCAGTGGTGGAGGTAGGGGTCAAGCTCTAGAGCTCCGAGGGGGCTAGGACACACATGGGAAGGAGGAGGAGACAGGAGAAGGGAAAAGAAACTATGTTTCAAGATTGTAGTTTGACAGGAAGATGGGATTCATGTAAAATAGAATTCTCCAGGACTAGCATCGTAGGCGCATTTAAAGACTGAAGGAAGAAGCTGTTGAAAAGAGGCTGAATATAAAAAAGAGGCAAATGGTTAAGGCCCCGATGCCAAGAGGCTTGCCTTCACAGAGAAGAGATATTTAGAGCACTAGCTGAGGAATGTCCACGATGATCTAGAACCATCCTGTCCAATGTCGCCCACCACCTGCAGCTGTGGAGCACTTGACCTGTAGCTTGTCCAAACCGGAATTTGAAGGTTTAGTATGGACAAAAAATGACTGTCCGATATCCCATTAATGACTTCAGTATTAATTACATATTAAGCTAATAATATGTTGGATATGTTGGATTCAATAAAGTACATTACTAAAATTTATTTCATGTTTATTTTTGCTTTTTTTTTTTCATATGACTACTAGAAATGTAACTCTTCTTTGTGGCTTGTATTATTTTTCTGATGGACCATGCTGATCTAAAGTGTTGGAAACCAGACTAGAAGAAAACAGAAATTCCTTGAAAAGCTCTGCCTCAAGGAATGAAACCTCTTTCCACAATCCCAGAATCTGCCTCATTCTCTTAGAGGTTCAGCTAAACTGATGGGGGTGGGGGTAGATCAAATGCTTGCTGAACCAACTAAGTACCAGCACCAACGAAATTATATTGCAAAGTGTATAACCACTGAAGATAGTAATTTGTTCTCAAGCACCCTTTACATATAAGCAATTAATTCACTGATGAGAAATCCTTCTGACCCATTCAGTAAGGTAGGCCCTTAAGGGACCAGCTATGGAAGGCAGTCCACAAACCAGGAACCAAGCTCTCATCTCCAAGAAGACGACAGAACAGGACACGCATCCCCACCTTCAGGTAATCCCAAACTGGTCTTGGTCCTTATCCAGATTTGAAAGCAATGGATAAGCAAATAAGTCACACTCCAGTCCTGTCCCAAGCCATGGTCACCCTGACTTCCACCACTGTGTATGGGCAGTGAGGTATTTCCTGTGTGTCTAAACAAGGCGGCTTCTACCTCAATGGTTTGTACACCCATCAGAACTTCCTTCTTCTCCCAACCAGCCTCGACTCTGTGGCATGTGATGAGGGTGGTTTCCACCTTTCCATTCCCCAAAGATAACAACCAGCAGAGAGTGCTTGCTTGCTGATGGTGTTATCTAAGATCAACACCTGTCGTTCCTGTCACCTGGGTCCTCCAGGTCAGGGTTAAGTGGAGGCTTTTGTGTCTTAGTAGGTGCCTGGTCACCATAGCTGCTTTTTAGTTGGGGTTTTGTTTTTCTAAAGAGGGACAAGACAGTGGGACTGTGAAAAAACTACACATCTTCTCTGGGGCTTTGAATCTCTCTCCATCTTTTTCCACCTCCTGCCCCTCTGGGCTCTGGGACTGAAAGAGGTCCACGCTCAGGTGGCCAACAAGGGCTATTAAGACCTCCTGGTGACATGCTTACATCCTGATAGAACTAAAAGTGGGGGTTCAACCACTACAACAGGCTGGTGGATGAATGTTCTTGTTGAAGAAGGTACTTTGTCCCCACACTCAATCCAGTCCAGCCTATGCCTCCACTGTTCTTAGAATTTCAACAAGGGTCCAGTCTACCCTGAAGTCCATCTGTCACGGTGATCATTCAGCAAACAGCTCCACAACCTCCAAACTGGTTCCCCTGCCCCAGTTCCTTCCTGTTCCGAGTACCATGTTGGTCGTAGCAGCAGTGTGCCTATTAGAGAGAATGCTGAAACCCGGGTGGAGTCCTGGCATTGCCCCTGCTGGGTTTTGAATACGAGGAACCGTTTGAGAATTAACTTTTGTTCCAGTAAAACCGAGTTCAGCTCAGCCTCTCAGATCTTTAAGGTGTGTATGAATTCTTTCTTTAGTCCATGTTTGTGTCTCTCCTCTGTTCAAGCATTGGTAGTGGCCCCCCTCCCATAGATAGAGCACCATTCCCTGCACTGGCTTTCAAGACTGTCCCTAACCCGACCCCAAACTATCCTTCAGCCCATTGTGATGACTCCTGTTTCCATTCCTCTAGAGCCAACTGGGTTCCTCACAGGTGCCCCAAACACACTAACCCACGCCGTCTCTCTTCACTTATTTCACACTAATTCTAGCAATGCCTTCCCTTCAAAGTCCTGCTCCAATCTCACTACATGTCCCAAACCCCAGCCTGAAGTGAGCTCCTCCTTTGGGAGTCACCGTATAACCTGTGGGCGCTCCTATCAGGTACGGAGTTCCCTATCATTCTAATGAATCATCTGCAGTAACAGTGGGGCATCTCGGAAGCCCTACAAGTCTGGTACAAAGACCAGCCACACTGCACTCTTCCTCGTGCCCATCACCTTAATGAATCCTCAAAGCCACTCTAGGAGGCAGGCCCTGTAGCTAGAGGCATTGTTGGTGACTTGCCTCAAGTCAGTGAGTGAATGATGAAGATGTCCCTCTCAGAACAGACATCCATTAAACAGGAACCTAAACCTGGCTGGGAAGATGAGGCAAGTTGCCATGTTCAGACCCTGGACAGTCCCAAGTAACCACCCAGAGAATGAGTATCCCATACCTGCTCCCTGCAGAGACTGGATCAGAGCACGTGCCCCTGTCCCTCTAATACCTCGGGGTGATGTGAGAATTACAAGAGCATGCGTTACAAGAGAATTACAAGAACATGCACCTGGCTCATTGTAGGTGCTCAAAAGTTCTGTGCAGGCTCAACCAGCCTTGGCCCACAGAGAACTAAGGAGTATTGGAATAAAGAGGGTCTTGGAGATCTCCTAATGGCTGTAACCTCATTTTACCAAGGGGAAAGGAGAGTTCTGCACAGGGAAAAGACTCAGCCAAGGCCACTCAGCAACAAAACCAGGGCAGACCCCAGTGCCACACTCTCCTCCTCTTCCCCGTCAAAGCCAGGGCCTCAGCCCTGCTGCACCTCCCTACTCTGTTTTCCTGCTCTGTTTGACAGCTGGGCAGACTCACTACCCCAAGTCAACCAAGCAATCTCTCAGGACATTTTGACCTCCACTGTTGATTTCTATCCAAAAGACGTGAGCATTTCTAGTTCCCAAGGAATGTGAGTCAGTCCCACAGATGGGGCCGCTGGTTTAGAACAAACACTGGGTTTTCTATATAAGGAACACACCTATGACCAGGCAACACCTCTGCCAGGAAGCCCAGGTAAGTTCTTGCTCTTGGTGTTTGTTTACAGGTTTAACTTACTATGTGACAGCTGGTCACTTACTTAACTTCTTTGGGCCTCCGAATGTCCATATGAACAAAGAGGAAGATAGACAGCCTGGGTCAGTCTGGCTGCTTAGAGATGAAACTTGGTTTGGGAACAGCCCCAACTCCATCCCCATGCACTTCATCATCTACACATCCCCCAGTGACTTCATTGGTTCATTTCCACTTGGCACAGGCTCTCAGGTATGGGACAAACGAGTCCCACTGCCAAACATTTTGTCTCCAACAGAGGTGGGAAGGACAGAGAACATACCCCTCAATTGTCTCCTACCTTCAGGAGGTGGGGAGAACTTTTCTACTCAGCAATCATGGTTCCGGGTCCTAACACATACACATATGCTGAGTGAATTCTGAGGTGCATGGGCTAACAGAAGCTGTGCTGCCTGGGGTCCCTCTCTCCCCAGGCCCATCTGTTCCCCTTCCAGCTGAGGCCATGTTCTCTTCAGGGACCATCTATAGCCTGCTGCTTCTCAGTGTGCTTTGGGTGGACTTCACCGTGGCAGGTTCCAGCTTTCTAAGCCCCGAACACCAGAAAGTCCAGGTAAGGAACCACCTCTCTGCCACTCCCATAAAACCCCACATTCTGATCAGGGTATCTGCTTCTAGCCCTGCTACTTAGCAACCAGCTACGTGCTCTACAACAGTGGCTCAACCTCTCTGAGCTTCAGCCTTCTCCCAGAGCACAAAGGAGGACTCTATGTCTAACCTAAGGCCCATCACTCTACTTTTGGAGGGCATGGGGGCTTAGGGCCCTAAAGAAAACATCCCCTCTTCCCAGCAGAGAAAGGAGTCCAAGAAGCCACCGGTCAAACTGCAGTCCCGAGCAGCAGAAGGCTGGCTCCACCCAGAATATGGAAGTCTGGAGGAAGGGGCAGAGGATGAGCTGGAAATCCGGGTGGGTACTTCTGCAGAGTTATGCCTTTGTGGTAGGAGGGAACTGTGGGGAGGGAAAAGGCAGGGGAAAATAGCTATAAACAGGGACGTATTAAAAAACTACTCACAAAATAGAAAACAGTACTAGAAGTTCCTTGAGCTCTTCCCTGGGCTCTCTGAGGTCTTTGCCCATTAAGAGACCAAATGCGTATAAGTATTTTTGCTACAGGGAATGGGGATGTACAAGGATTCTCAGGCAGAGGAGAGGAAGTCTAGCAGGCTCCAGGCTAGTCAGCAAATATGGTTCAAGAGATGGGTGTGCAAGAACTAAAGCGGGTCAGACTGAAGGTGTTTCTCTCCCCAGAAAAAGTTGCTTTAATCAGTGGGATCTCAAGACTTAACTTGGGAGTGGAGTGGTTTGAGACAGAACCGTGGCTAGCTGTCAGCACTTAATGCACTTCACCTGGAGACCAGAACAGGGTGCATCTGGTCTTCGCTAGGGTTTCTTTTTGCTCTGACAAAGCCTGCGTGGAGCCAGGAAAAACTTTAGAGGTGGTTCAAGTATTAGAAAAGGGATGAAGGATAGGGATTTTAGAGCTGTAATGTTGACTCTGTGGGTTTGGCAGTGGACTGCTAACCACAAAGTCAGTGGTTCGCATCTGCCAAGAGCTCTGAAGGAGAAAGATGAGGCTGTCGGTTCCTGGAGAGATGGACATTCCCAGAAACGCTGTACAGGAATGTTGTGTGTTATTGCACCAGACTACAAAGCCATTTGAACTACTAGATTGGTGGTTCAAACTCACCAGTCGCTCCTTAGAAACCCTATAAAGGGTTGCTATGGTTGGAATTGACTTGACGGCACTTAACAACAACATGAGTCAATGGATTGAAGGGAATGGGTTTGGTTGTTGGTTAATCTTACTGAAGGGTTGGCTGAGGTTCAGGGTATGTGTTGGGTTTCTTTCTTTTTTTACAAGCTTTTAGGCAATGGCACCTCTTTGGGAAAAAAAACAAACGGATTTCCCTAAGGTTGTTGTGAAGTGCCATTGAGTCATTTCCGATTCATAGTGACCGTGTATAGGGTTTCTGAGGAGCGGCTGGGGAGCTGGAACCACCGACTTTGAGGTTCAGACCAACCTTGTGGTCCAGTGCTTATCCTACAGCGGCACACCAGGACGTCCCTAGGGTGATACTCAGTAATGGCAATTATCCTGCTGTGCCTATGTAGAGTGATTTGTCATAGTGATTTATTATATATCACTTCATCTCAATTCTCCCCATTCATAGATGAGGTGGGAGCTCAGAGGGGTCCAGTTCCCTGAGGCACTCAGTCAGGGTCCACTCTAGTCCCCAAGCCTCCTCACTGGTGTAGTGGACAGAGTGTGCACAGTAGACTGGGAAAAAGGTCCAGGTAAGGCACCCACCTCTGCCTTCCCCGCAAAAAACCCACATTCTTATCAGGGTATCTGGCATGCCCCTTCTTGGCCTGGAGTCCTGGTATGTCACTGTAGGATAAGCACTGGACTGCTAACTGCCACCAGCTGCTCCTTGGAAACCCAATACAGTGTTGCTGAGTCAGAACCAACTCAACAACGTAACAACAACCTTGGCTTCTCTCTACTTACCTTCTTCTTCTGACAAGGATGTGTACCCGCCTCATGGTCCCCCAAATTCTTGTTCTCTGCTCCTCGCCAGAACCTAGAGGCATTCTCGGACCTTTCCTTCACACTGAATGAGACCTCCACCCACTACACTCCATTAGAATAGTCAAAAAAAAAAAAAAAAGAAAAAAAAACAACACTAAATTGAAACCTTTCCAGGTGAGAAGTCGGCCAGGTGGCAGCCACGCCTGATTGGCTCAAATTTAGCTCAGATGCAGAAGAGATTTTGGTGCTGATGACTTTAGGCAGGGCTGGGATTACTGGAAGTTTCTGGCCTTGGGAGAAACAAGCCCCACTGCCAGAACTGGAACCAGAAGTCTGAAGTGACTCAGAAGGTGTCGGGGTGGCAACATCACAACTCAACTCAGCCTCTGCTCAGCTGTCAAAGGCCCGCCCATGCCCGTGTCCCACCGCTCCTCCAAGATTCTCCTACAATCAAGTTTCTGACTTTTGAGACCAAGTCCTTCCACTCCCCACCCCTCTAACCTCCGCTGAATAGATGGGGCAGAGGACATGAGTGGAGGGGCATTCTCGAGTCACATGACACAGACCCTCCAACCAACAGTCTCCATGGCTAGAGCTCATGGTGCTTTTGAAGAAGTCTGAGTTGATCTCAGCCATGGGGGTGAAAGAAGGAGGACTAATATTTATCGAAGTGGGGGACCCAATCAAATCCTTCCTCACCCACTCCTTCACAGAGGATGGTAGGGGGAGGGGCAGCTGCCACCAAATGGTGACCCCATGTGTGTCAGAGCAGAACTGTGCTCCATAGTTTTCAAAGTCCATCACCAGGCCTTTTTCCAAGGCACTTCTGGTTACATTCAAACTTCCAACCATTTGTGCCACCCAGGGGCTCGGCTGAGGAAGTAATCAAGTAACTATTTGCTACTTGCGTAACTTCTCTATACCTGCTTCCTCCTCTGTAAAATAGGAATAGTGCCAGGAGTACCGCAATAGAAAAGGCTGCAGGGCTGGGTGGATTTTGAGTCCTAGATTCTAGTCCTTAGCCACTAGCTCCTTCTATGGCCTTGGGCAAGACATTGTGGGTTTCTGCTGCTTTATCTGAAAATGAGGATAAGGCCCCCTGTTGAGGGCAGGTGGTAGATGATCTAGGGTTCCCTTCCAACACAAAGATTCGTTTATTGATTCACTCAAACATCTGTGATGGTTAAGTTCCAGGCTACGGGAGATAAAGACACATTCTCAATTCAAGGAAATCCGTGGTGCAGCTGCAAGTAGAGTTCTTTCCCATTATCCAAATCATCTCCCCGAATGCCAAGAGAACAGGGCACTCTCTTTTCTGAAGGGAAGAAAGAGAGGCACAGAAAGGGGTTGGCTTGGTGCATCTTTCTAGACAAATGTCAGCTTCTTGATCATCCACAGAAGAAAGACCTACCTGTATGGGAGGAAGAACATCTGGAAACGGAGAAAGAGGAAACAGAAAGGAGAAAGGAGGTAGGGAAGGGATAGAAACTATCATTCAGGCTACTGCATCGTACACTGGGTAGACCCAATGTCCTCTACCCCTCATATCTCCCTGCCAGGACCTCCAATTCTACCACTGGCAAGTCAACCTTCTGTTTTTCTAAAATTGCTGAGAGGGATGGGGGAAGGGATCTATCTAGGGGAAACCCACAGATTAGCAACATGGAGACTGAGGCTAAAATACATGGAAGAAGCTACAAAGTATCCTGAAGGAGAGAGGGAAGCTGAAAGGGGCCTGGGAAGGCAGGGATGTGTGCCTCCTGGGGACAACAGCCATTCTCTCTATCCCCAGTGAGTGACAGCCTCTTTGGAATAAGGCTGTATGTTTGGAACAGGGCTAGGGATCTGTTACCTCTGACACCTACTGCAACCGCCCTGCTCCATCTCCTAGTTCAACGCCCCCTTTGACGTTGGAATCAAGCTGTCAGGGGCTCAGTACAAGCAGCATGGCGGGGCCCTGGGGAAATTCCTTCAAGACATCCTTTGGGAAGATGACAAAGGTAAGTCTTTGCCTGGGTGAGGCCATTTCTGAGTCTCTGTAGAGTCCCAAATGTCAGCCCTCCATGCAAAGTTTTCTCCTCCACAGACAGCCTCAATTTCCTTTTCCCAATGACTGCGGGAGGGTGGCGTGGATGGGTCATTTGAGTGGCTCAGGAGTGTTCCAAGAACTAACTTTGGGGCCCCATTTGAACCCCAATTTCCATAACTAACATGGAGCTGACACTGTGAGTGTATCCGTTATTTGGTGGGAAGTATCTTTCCTGTGTAACTTTATTTCATAAAGAGGAATCTGTGACCACATTCAATAGGCTTCTCAGCCAAGCAAACGGGCTTTACTTTGAATCCCACTACCTTAGATAGAAGAAACCATTCAACTGTTATCTGACCAAGCAGAAATACCTTTGTTTTTATTTGGAGGCGGATGAATACTTCATTTAGTGTTGGGGTTATGGTTAGGAATATGGTTAATGTGAGGGGTAGGGCTTGGGCTAGGGCTAGGATAAGGTTTGGTCTAATCTTAGGGATTTGTTTTGTTTTGTTGTTGAAAACTGGTATCTCTGGTTCCCTAGTGTCCATTTTTTAGGTCTGTGTGACTTTGCAGACTTCTAAATCTGGGTGATATTGTCATGTATGTTAGTCTCAGGTTGTTGGTTGCTGTTGTTGGTTCTCTGTCCAAAGAAGTCCCTTTAAGTAATTTTTGTAAGGTTGATCCAGTGATCCATTAATTTTTACAAATTTTTTTTTGTTTATCTGGAAATATCTTAATTTTGCTGTCATATTTCATGGACAGTTTTCTTAGGTATATGATTCTTAGTTGGCAATTTTTTCTTGCAGCTTTATATATATCATACTATTATTGTCTTGCCTGCATGGGGTCTGAGATGTCAGAGCTTAGTTTTATTAGTTTTCCTTTGCCAATAACATTTTGTTTTTCCTGAGTTGCTCTCAGGATTTTCCCCTTGTCTCTGGTTTTGAAAACCTTAATTATAATATGTCTTGGTGATTTTGTTTTGGGATCTATCCTGTTTGGAATTTATTTAACTTCTTGAATGTATTTTTTCTCAACTTCCATGATGTTAGGAAGGTTTTCTTCTAGCACCTGTTGCACAGTTTTCTCTATGGTTTTATTTGTCTCTTCCAGTTCTGAAATTACAATCACATGTAAGGTATTCCTCAGATAGTATCCCACATAATTTTTTAAGACTTTCTTCAGATTTAAAAAAAAAAAAAAAACAACTTTTTTCTGGCTGTTCCTCTTAAAGATGAATATGGAGAGATTGTTTTCAAGCTCAATGATTCGGCCATTGATTCAATTCTACTCTGCCCTTACAATGTATTGTTTCTCAAGTCTTGTTGTTAGTTGTCATCGAGTGGGTACACTATGCACAACAGAACGAAACACTGCCCGGTCCTGGGCCAATCTCATAATCGTTGCCATGTTTGAGCCCACTGATGCTGCCACTTTGCCAGTCCATCTCGCTGAGAGACTTCCTCTTTTTCTCTGACCCTCCATCATATCAGTGACTGACAGTATGTCCCAAGTATGAGAGACAAAGTCTGGTCATCCTGGCCTCTAAGGAGCACTCTGGCTGCACTTCTTCCAACACTGATCTGTTTGTTCTTTTGGCAGTCCATAGTACTTTCAATATTCTCCCCCAACACCAGAACTCAAAAGCATCAGTTTTTCTATGGTCTTCCTTATTCACTGTCCAACTTTCACATGCATATGAGGTTATTGAAAATACCATGGCTTGAGTCAGGTGCACCTTAGTCCTCAAGCTGACATCTTCACTCTTCAACACTTTAAAAAGGTCTTGTGCAGCAGATTTGCCTAATGCAATGCGTCATTTGATTTCTTGACTGCTGCTTCCATGAATGTTGGTTGATCTGAGAAAAATGAAGTGTTCGACAACTTCAATCTTTTCTCCACTGTTAAGAATGTTGTTTATTGGTACAGTGGTGAGGATTTTTGTTTTCTTTACATTGAGATGCAATCCATACTGAAGGCTGTGGTCTTTGATCTTCCTAAGTATTTTAAGTGTTCTTTGCTTTCAGCAATCAAGGTTGTATCATCTGTCTTCCTCCAATCCTGATGCCACATTTTTCTTCATATAACCCAGCTTCTCAGGTTATTTGCTTAGCGTACGGGTTGAACAAGTAAGGTGAAAGACACAACTTTTCCTAATTTTAAACCATTCGTTGTTACCATGTTCTATACGAACAACTTCCTCATGGTCTATGTACAGGTTCCTCATGAGCACAATTAAGTGTCTGGAATACTAATACTTTGCAGTGTTGTCCATTGCTTGTCATGACCCACACAATCGAAAGCCTTTGCGTAGTCAATAAAGCACAGGTAAACCTCTTTCTGATATTCTCTGCTTTCAGCCAAGATCCATCTGATGTCAGCAGTGTTATCACTCGTTCCACATCCTCTTTGGAATCTGGCTTGAGCCTCTGGAAGTATGGTTGCAGCCATTTCTGTATTATCTGAAGTCTTAACAATTAATTAATCTTCTGGTTTTCTAGTTGCTATTTTTGTATGGTTTCCAATTTTTCATTTGTCAAGTTTGTTCTTGTTTTCTCTTCCTGAATTATTCCTGGCTTTTGTTGATCTACATCAGTTCACTGACGGTAACTAAATAGCATTCTTTTAAGTTCCTTCTCAAGCAGTTCTGAGTCCATTTCTGGTTTATTTTCTGACTCTACATTTTGGTAACTTATTTGAGACACTTTGTTTCTTCATGTAAGCTGAAACTGCATGTTTTCTGCAAGACAGTGTGGTGGTGTTGTATTTATATTCAATTGATGATTGTATGTTGGTGTGTGTGACCATCTGTTTTCTCCTAGTGGATGTGGTAAGTCTGGAAGGAAGGCTGAACACAGTTCCCGGTTCACTATTTGTAAAGCACAGTTCAGGCCAGGTTCACATGCCTCTTGGAAGAACCCCAGAGGCTGAGCAGGAGGGGCTGCTCCTGGCTGCTGTTGGTGATGGCAGGCCTGGCTACACTTCCGCAACCAGCAGACTTGCACCCCCTTGTCTCGCACCTGCAGCCTGGCCCTGTGCCCACAGGCCACTCTATCACCAACCACTCCATGCCAACTGACAGCCCGCCTGGCTTCCTTCTCTCTCGCTGCTCCTATTCAGCACCTCTTCCAGTCAGCAAGCACTCAGTTCAACTTTCTGTCCTATCTTCTGAACATCAATGTTGCAGGACCACCATCTTTATCTATTTCACTTGTTCTCCCATGTTATTGGGACAGAGGGTCTGCTCAGTGTGCCTGCCTACTCCACTATTTTGAAACAGCTAACTTTGAAAGCACACTCTACAACATGCCAATCACTTCCTTACTGATAAGCCTTCTGCCCACCAGCACACAGTCCACATGAGCTAAGCAGATAAGGAAAGCAGCTCAGAGCTACTAAAGGATTTGCTCAGACACAGTCCAAACACCCGACACCCCTGGAGTCTTTCAGCTTCAAGGCCAGCCTCCATTACAACACATTGCCATTAGAGACGAAAAGCATCTCTGGGGGCACTGGCAGAAGAGCAGACTTGGAATTTTGACTAAACCTCTTTCTTTTCAGAGGTCCCAAGTGACAACTGATCATCCACAAGACTGAGCCCACTGCTTCGCTTTCCTCCTAACCTTAACAGCTTTCGTCTCGCTGTAAGGCTGCTTTTGCAATGCATCTCTGCACTAGTTTATGAGGTGAATAAATATTCAAACAGTACGCTGAGTGTTCAAAGTGGAAATTTATTTCACCAAAGAGGGAAATCTCGTATTTCACTGGAGAAAGAAAATTAATTGTAAAGGGAAACACAAAAAGCAACTCTTGGTCTATGATAAATGGGAGAAAAAAAATACATGTGGCAAGACAGGTGTGCATGCTTAGAAAGCAAAATTAAACCAACACAGATCCGCAGAGAAAAGTACTTTGAAAACACAGAACAGAAGGAAGGGAAAAGGAAAGAAAATAAACTAGTGATGGAGGAAGGAAAGGAGAAGGGAAAGAAGACAGTTCTTGAAGCGTCAGCATTTCCCAAGAGCAACCGAGTTGTTATTTAGCGCTCATGAGCAATCAGCAAGGATGGGGTGGACAGAGAAACTGCAGGTGACAGGCAAGGTCAATCAGTGGGATGATTATGAACAGGATAGCAGGAATGCCAAAGGAGGGCTCTAGAGTCATAAGTAAGTCCACTACCATTGAGTCAGTTCCAACTCATAGTGACCCCACAGAACAGAGCAGGTTTGCTCTATACCTTCCGAGACTGTCAATCTTTACAGAGCAGATTGCCTCATCTTTCTCCCTTGGAGTGGCTGGTGGGTTTGAACTGCTGACCTTGCAGTTAGCAGCAGCCCAATGCTTAACCCACTGCATCACCAGGGATCCCAAAGTCATACACAGCTGGAGTGTGTAACAACAGCTTAGAGTCAATGCTAGACTGGGTTGAAATAACTTTATCCTTCCTCCTTGTCCACTACTGAAAAGACCTCTCAATGCAAATGTGGGAAAAGGTATGGCTATTGCCCGGGTTACTTCAGAGGGACCAAGCAGGTATGCCCAAACTCACAGCTGAGACGGACCTTGATCCTTAGGTTCCACAACTCAGTTCCTTCCAGTCAGACAGCCATTCTCCTGAGAGGAAAGTCCCACATCAGTCACACCTCAGTGTGAACCAACAGACACTTGAGTGCTACTTCTGATGGGTGGAGCACAACAGAGACAAAACCAGGAAGCCACTAAGACAAGCACTGTCTGATTCCAAGTCAGACATAGGAGCATATCAGAACTATGCAGAAAACCCCTTTGCAGAGTCAGAGTTGGGGTAACATCCACATTCTGGAAAATTCTCTATTAGCAGAGGGCTCTAGGGGTCAAGTGCCTCCTGATATAAATCTGTGGTTATCTGGCACTCAAGGACAGCCTTACAGGCACTAACAATTTATCCAGGCTCACTGACATCCTACTGCCATCCCTAATCTGTGAACTGCTTTTAGTCCACAGAACATTTCCATCATCCTGAAACTTCTTCTTCAGTCCCACCTAAGGAGCTCTGGTAGCATAATGGATACGAGTCGGGCTGCTAATCTCACAGTCAGCAGTTTGAAAATACCAGTGGTGTCACGAGAGACAAATGAGGCTTTCTGCTCCTGTAAAGATTTACAGCCTTGGAAACCCTATATAGGGTTGCTGAGTCAGAACCAACTTCATGTGCATAACCACAACTACCACCAGTTCCCCCTAGCTCCACTATGTCAAATCCCTAAGTAATGAAATACACATTACCATTTGAAGGCCAGCTGCATAGTTCAGACCAAGATAATTGGATTTTCCTCCACACATGTAAAAAACCTCACTGGGCTATTGTCAAGACTTGCTTTGTTGTTAGGTGCCTTAAGAGTTAGTTCTGGGGAGTAGTTAATCTTACAGTCCAGAAACAGAGGATCCTAGGACCATCAAGGAAGAAGAGCACAAGTGGAATGCGGAACCTTATCCAGAGAAGCAGCAGCACCAGAGATGGAAGCAGAGCTGGGGACATGAAGAGAGGGAGCAGCTGACTCTAGATTCAAGGAAAAGAGAGGGACTGAGAGCTGGTGGTCAGGAGGCAGACTTGCAGAATGTGCCCTTTGGTTGTTTAAATTACTATATATGCCTGAAGTGTTTTTAAAAAATGAATAAATGAATAGACCAAAATACTGTTAACTGATGGTACCTGGAGAGGATTATAACCATTGTGATGAAACAAAGCATATGATCTGTTAAATGTAAAACTGATGATCTGCTCTGTAAACTTCCACTCACTTCACAATAAAAACTTTTTGAAAAGTCGGTTCTGATCCATAGCAACCCTCTGTACAACAGAAGGAAACACCACTTGGTTCTGCACCATCCTCACAATGGCTACTATGTTTGAACCCTTGCTCCCGCTACTGTGCCAATCTATCTCACTGGAGATCTCCCTCTTTTTCACTGACCTTCCACTTTACCAAGCATGATGTCTTTCACCAGAGACTAGTCCCTCCTGACAATATGTCCTAAGTATAAGGGATGAAGTTAGGTCATCTTGACCTCTAAGAACATTCTAGTTGTACTTCCTCCAACACATATGTTTGTTCTTCTGGCATTGCATGGTACTCTTAATAGTCTTCTCCAGTGCCACAACTCAAATGCATCAATTCTTCTATGGTATTCCGTATTCACTGTCCAACTTCATATGCATATGAGCCTACTGAAAATATCATGGCTTGAATCTGGTGCATCTTAGTCCTCAAATTGTTATCTTTGCTCTTGAACACTTTAAAGAGGCCTTGTGCAGCAGATCTGCCTAATGCAAAATCCTTTCATGTCTTGACTGCTGCTTCCAGAAGTGTTGATGGAGCATCCAAGAAAAATGAAGTCTTAGACAACTTCAATCTTTTCTCCATGTATCACGATGTTATTTATTGCCCCAGTGGTGAGGATTTTTGTTTCTTTACACTGAGGTGTAACCCATACTGAAAGCCAAGTATTTTAAGTCCTCTTCATTTTCGGTAAGCAAGGTTGTATCATCTGCATATTGCAAGGTTGTCGTTTCTTCCTCCAATTCTGATGCCACCATCTTCTGCATATAATCTAGCTTCTCAGATTATTTGCTCAGCATACAGACAAAATAATGACAGAATATAACCTTGGCATACACCTTTCCTGATTCATTGTCCCCCTTTTCTGTTTTAACAACTGCCTCTTGGTCTATGTACAAGTTCCCCATGAGCACAATTAAGTGTTCTAGAATACTCATATAGAACAATTCTACCAACTTATTCAATATGAAATTGATCAAACATGCAATCAAGATCATTACTGGTGATTGGAATGCAAAGGTTGGAAACAAAGAGGAAGGATCAGTAGTTGGAAAATATGGCCTTGGTGACAGAAAGGATGCTGGAGACCACATGATAGAATTCTGCAAAATCAATTATTTCAAAGACCTTCTTTAGACAGTGTAAGAGACGATTATACACATGGACCTCACCAGATGGAATAAATAGAAATAAAATTGACTACATCTGTGGAAATAGATAGTGGAAAAGCTCCACATCATCCGCCAAAACAAGGCCAGGGGCAGATTGTGGAACAGACCATAAACTGCTCATATACAAATTGAGACTGAGCTGATGAAAATGATACATGAGAGCCAAAATATGACCTTGAATATATCCCACCTCAATTTAGAGATCATCTGAAGAACAGATTTGATACATTAAACACTGAAGACCGAACACCAGAAGAGTTGTGGGATGACATCAAGACCATCATACATGAAGAAAGCAAAAAGCTATTAAGAAGACAAGAAGGAAAAAATCAAAATGGATTTCAGAAGAAACACTGAAATTTGTTTTCCAGCATAAAGATGCTAAAGCAAATGGAAGAAATGAGGAGATACAAGAGCTAAACAGAAAATTCCAAAGATCAGCTCAAGAAGACAAAGTCAATTATTACAACAAAATGTACAAAGATCTGGAGCCAGAAAACCAAAAGGGAATAACACACTCAGCATTTCTCAAGCTGGGGGAACTAAAGAAAAAATTCAAACCTTGACTTTCGTTATTGAAAGATTCTCTGGGCAAGTTACTGAATGATGCATAAAACATCAAAAGAAAATGGAAGGAATCCACAGAATCACTGGACCAAAAGGAAATGGTTGATGTTGAACTGTTTCAAGAGGTAGCATGTAATCGGAAGCCAATGATACTGAAGGAAGAAGTCCAAGGTGCACTGAAGGACTTGGCAACGAATAAGACACCAAGAATTGATGAAACAAAAACTGAAATCTTTCAAGAAAGTGAGGCAGCACTGGAGGCACACACTCATCTATGTCAAGAAATTTGAAAGACAACTATCTGGTTGACTAATTGGATTTGTGTAAATTCCAAAGAGAGGTGACCCAACAGAGGAAATCATCGGACAGTATCTTTGATATCCCATGCGAGTCTAGTTTTACAGAAGGTAATATACAGTGACGGCTGTAAGCATACATTGACAGAGAACTTCCAGAGGTTCAAGCCAGATTCAGAAGAGGATGTGGAATGAATCACTGCTGACATCAGATCTTGGCTGAAAGCAGAGAATACCAGAAAGATGTTTACCTGTGCTTTATTGACTACGTAAAGGCTTTCGATTGTGTGGATCATGACAAGCTATGGACAACATTACAAAGTAAAAGTATTCCAGAACACTTAATTGTTCTCATGAGGTATCTGAACCTGGACCAAGAGGCAGTTGTTTGAGAAGAACATGGGAACACTGTTTTAAAATTAAGAAAAGTGTGCGACAGGATTGTACTCTTTCACCATACTTTTTCAACCTGTATGCTGAGCAAATAATTTGAGAAGCTGGGTTATATGAAGAAAAATTTGGCATCAGGATTGGAGGAAGACTCATTAACAATCTGCGATATACAGATGATACAACCTTGCTTACTGAAAGCGAAGAGAACTTAAAATATTTACTGATGAAGATCAAAGACCGCAGCCTTTGGTATGGATTACATCTCAATGTAAAAAAAAAAAAAAAATCCTCACCACTGGACCAATAAACAACATTCTTATCAACAGAGAAAATATTGAACTTGTCAAGGATTTCATTCTTCTTGGATCAACCATCAACACTCATGGAAGCAGCAGTCAAGA